TGCTGTCCCGAAAGATTCTACGCTTACTTTTGTTCCGCGGGTTGCGTCGGCGTCTGGAGGACATGGCGCCGGGTGTAACGGGACGAACGCCGCGAAGCGTGCGTCAGCAGCTGGCCCTGCCACATCACACCGGGCGAATGGGTACAATGCAGCGGCGGCAGGCGGAGATGCTGACACGTGGCGGGAGGAGAACGGCATTGGTAATGCGTCCGCTGCGTGGGTTCAGAAGGCGAGAACGACAGGAAAGAAGCGCGTTACTCCTGAAGTGAACACGGCGACGTCGTCCCCGGAAATTTCTCTGCTAGCTGCTTCTATGGAGTATGACAATATCGAGGACAGCTTCGGCGGCGCAGACAGCGGCAGAATTCTCGTACCGTACGACGACGACGACCGTCTGCTTGGCGAGCGTGACGGTGACGTTAACGGTGACGGACAGTGCGACGGGTCGTTCGTTTGGAGCCAGCGCGGATTCGGCGGAGGAAAGAGAGTCCGCGTGGAAAAGTATCCGCTTGCGGGGAAATTCCCGCAGCTCGTGCCGATTTCGTCCCCGTTTTCTTATCCTGACGGCTCGCCGTCATCTCCTCCGCGGCTCGGGTTCTCCCCGCCGTCAACGCCGAGCCTGACCGGCAATCGCCGACGGAAGGGTGTGCCTCAGCGATCTCCTCTGGTGTGAGTGACGTCTTGGAAGATAACGATAGGAAACAAAACCTGGAAAGTAAGGTTTCAAGCTTTGAAGAAATGGTGTACAGTGTGAGGAACCTCTCGCGGAAGCTTCATATGCGTACATAATGTCGGAATGGTCTCAATGCTGGTGCTGGAAGGGACGTAAGAAGAAGCCGTGACATAACAGAAGACATGGCGACTGGCATGGGGACGGGCGTGGCGCGGGCATGATAACGGGCATGGGAACGGGCATGTAATCTTCTTGGCTCGTGAGCGGCTGAGTTTGGCGTTGGGGCTTGGCCAGCTGAAGCTGATCCACCGTTGCTGCCAGATAGGAACTGGGGGAACTGGATGGGAAGGAAGGAGCAGGAGGGTGAAGGGAATGGCTGGCGGCATTGTGACTTACTGCTGCTGCTGATGGTGGATTTGGATGGCCTGGCTTGATGTGGTTTGGCCTGATATCAATTACATGGGTGCAGCTGACCAGACAAGGATTGCAGCAATCTCCTGCAATTACTGGATCGTCTGCAGTGAAATTCGTCGCTGGTGGGCCATATCAGTTCTGGCTGGAGCAGTTGTTGGGATATGGTTCTTCTTGGACGAGCAACAACATGTGACATGTAACATGTGACATGTGGCATGTGACATTGGACATGGGACACGAGGCATACCACCCACATGTCACATGTCCTATGTCTCATGACAAGGTGCAGGTGCAGTTCCAAGCCCCAACAATGCTTCTACCACTGCCAACATCACCGACTGTACATACACACCCATTTGCTGCTGTATATCCCTGATGGTCTATAGCTGCATATGCAGCTGCTGGTGCTTATGGAGTAAATGTTTTCCTTTATTATGCTTTGTATGTTAATCCTTTCTTGCAGCTAGCAGTGTGTAGTGCTGCTGGCTGTTCTGGATACTACACTGTAATCGATTTGCTTTATTGCTGGCCTTGCCTCTCTTTTTCACAAACTTTTGACAGTAAATATTCTAGGCGCCGTAGCTTATCTGCTTCTTCATCAACCGTTCAGTGTACAGGAAGCGAGTGTTTCACTAGCGAGGAACAACCTCACCATTTGCACAACAGATCAGCCTGCTCCCCTTTTTCTTGTGCGCCGTGAAGGAAGCTTTGAATCGAGAAAGCAGAGCTTGATAACGGAAAGTAACAGAGCTTTTAGTAGCAGTAAGCGGCGGGGATCACGGAAAGTTGGTAGCGCTTGGTGAGGTTAACCGCTGGACAGTGGGATTGAGTCGTATGGGCGTATTATCCCCTCTCGCATTAATTTGTCTGCTGATTGATCAGTCTAAAGAATCTTCCAGGAACATAACGGCTTCGGCTGATTCCGTCTCTGTACCCGTGGCTAATACAGTCTTGCATGAGCCCGTTTTGAGTCGGTTTGGAGGTCATATACACTGGGTAGACCCATGCCTAGAGAACACGCCTGTAACAATTCCTCTTGAGCTGTTTTGGAAGTCAATTGGTCAAGCAGACCCGTGCCTAGGACGCGCTGTTAGAGGTGTTTCACGTTATCAGAGTAATTTCTGGCTTGTAGAGATAATTCAAGCTATTAGAAGTATTGTTTCGCCCTAGGACACGCTAGTAACCATCCCCCCACCCCACCATGACGTCGAGCGGTTCTGACGTGGTAGCAGCGCTGGGTCGCCCGATTCGCGTCTTCACGTACGGAGCTGCGACGCCTGCGACTCCTGCGACGGTCGAGAGCGATGCGACTGCGACGGCGGGCGACTCGGAACGAGAAGGAGGCCCGGTGACAGCAGGAGGTTCGCAAGCGGCGGATCGGGGAAAGGAAGTTGCTGACGAGTTCTATGAGTTCACGCCGGCGGATTATTCGAGATTGATGGCGGGAAAGAAGGAAGGTGCGTGCAGGAGGGTGTGTCTGATCTGTTTCGAGGCTGTTGGCGCAGATGGTTTTTGTGAAATTTTGAGTCGACTCAAAAGTCACCTCGTTACAATGGCACACGACACTGTGCCTGATCTGTTTCGAGGTTGTTGGTGCAGATGGTTTTTGAAAATTCTTAAAAAAACACTGGGAAGAAACAGTTTTATGCGTGAATCGTGAGTGAGTGTATGTTCCTGTTTGTGGTTGTGCCTGGTATAGTTATTAACGGCTTTAAACATGATGGTCATACCTGGTCTGTGAAATGAAAACCGTCAAGACCCAGCCCAGTATATCCAATTTTTCCATGCGTCTACTATAGCTGCTAGATCCACCCTCCCTGCTCTCCCTTCCTAAACTACTCCCCCGTGCGGCTTTCTCTTGCCTGCAGAGCGCTTCCTCAAGACTAAAGCCATCCGAGACCAGCCATGTTGGATTCATTTTGTAGAATTCTAAAAAACGACTACTTTGCCCCTTTCCTTGCCTGCAGAGCGCTTCCTCAAGACTAAAGCCATCCGGGACCTAGAGCAGCAGCAACGGAAAGCACAGTTCAAACAGGTGGGCAGACGGGGAAATATGTGGTTTGGTTGAATGGCAACAAATAAGGTTTCCAATTTCCAACTGTCATGAGAGAGGAGAGAAAAAAAAGGACTCTGTATGAGGTTGTAGAATGCAGTATTCGCTTCTCCTCTAAGTCAGTTAGTTTGCTTCTAAAACCCCACCAGTTTGTCGGAGCCCGCTCTCCGTTCCCAGTGCTCACCTTTCTTGATAAAAGATTTGTTTTGAGACGTCTCAAAACAAATCTTTTATCCCGTGCTTCTCAAACCCCACCAGTTTGTCGGAGCCCGTTCGCCGTTGCCAGTGCTCACCATTCTTTCCCTCTCTCACCATTCTTTCCCTCTCTCACCATTCTTTCCCTCTCTCACCATTCTTTCCCTCTCTAACCATTCTTTCCCTCTCTCACCTCCCCAGCCTATCATCAGAGTCCGCTTCATTCGCAGTATCACCTTCGTTCTCCATTCTTCCCTTCCCAACCCCTCCAGGCGATTATCAGAGTCCGATTCCCTGATATCGCAGTGGTGGTGGCAGCCTTTGCCCCCACGGATGCTGTAGCGGCAGTGCGGCAGCCTTTGCCCCCACGAGGTGACTGTTGAGTCGACTCAAAAACCTTTGCCCCCACGGATGGAGATGCACCACCACCACTTCACCACTTCAACAAAGCCCAATCCCTCGTCTCCAGTGCTCACTCATTTCTACCCCTCCCAACCCCTCCTTTCTACCCTTCCCAACCCCGCCAGGCGATCATTAGAGTTTGATTCCCTGATAAACAACACAGTGGTGAAGGTCCTCTGTTTCACTCTTTTCCACCCTTCTCAACTCCTCTAGGCGATCATCAGAGTTCGAGTCCCTGATAAACAACACAGTGGTGAAGGTCCTCTGTTTCACTCCTTCCCACCCCTCTCAACTCTTCCAGGCGATCATCAGAGTTCGATTCTCTGATAAACAACACAGTGGTGAAGGTCCTCTGTTTCACTCCTTTCCACCCCTCTCAACTCCTCAAGGCGATCATCAGAGTTTGATTCCCTGATAAACAACATAGTGGTGAAAGTCCTCTGTTTCACTCCTTTCCACCCTTCTCAACTCCAGGCGATCATCAGAGTTCGATTCCCTGATAAACAACACAGTGGTGAAGGTCCTCTGTTTCACTCCTTTTCACCCCTCTCAACTCCTCCAGGCGATCATTAGGATTCGATTCCGTGATAAGCAACACAGTGGTGAAGGTCCTCTGTTTCACTCCTTTCCCCCCCTCTCAACTCCTCCAGGTGATCATCAGAGTTCGATTCCCTGATGACACAGTGGCGGAGGTGGCCGTTGCCCCCACGAATGAACCTTCACCACCACCACTTCACCTCTTTCTACCCCTTTCAACTCCTCCAGGCGACTATCAGAGTCCGCTTTCCGGACAACACAGTGGTGGAGGCGGCCTTCGCCCCCACGGATGCTGTAGCGGCAGTGCGGCAGTTTGTGTGCAAGTGTCTGCTACAACCGGACCTGCCTTTCTTCTTTTGTAAGTGCTACACTGGTTATTTATCGTTCGGTTTTTTTTTTCCCCTTGTTTAGGTTTGAAGGCACACTTCTTTTTGTGTTACTGTCCCGTCCTTTCATCAGACACAACGCCACCAAAGAGGAGGATCAAGAACGAGGAGGAGGATCTGTACACTGCGCAGCTCACTCCAGGCGCTCTGCTGCACGTGGCAGTTGAATCTTCTGCTGCAGGTAGGAAGTTTTTCAGGGCAGAGTGTTCGTCAGTGCATTGTCAGTTGGGCCGATGCAGAGAATGAGAGAGAGAGAGAGAGAGAGAGAGAGAGAGAGAGAGAGAGAGAGAGAGAGAGAGAGAGAGAGAGAGAGAGAGAGAGAGAGAGAAAAAAAAAAAGTATGGGGCTACTTTTGAGTCGACTCAAAAGTCACCAGGTATGGGGCTTGTGTGCGGCTTACTCCAGGAGCAGTGCTGCAGGTGGCAGTTCAACCTCCATCCTGTCAACATCAACCGCCCTTCCATATCGATCCCTTTTGAGGCGCCTCAAAACAGGTGGCAGTTTAAATTCCATCCTGTCAACATCAACCGCCCTTTCAAATCAATCCCACCCGTCCCCCACCACAACTTCCCCTGTTTTCCACCACCTCTCCGCAACCCACCTCTCCGCAACCCACCTCTCCGCAACCCACCTCTCCGCAACCCACCTCTCCGCAACCCACCTCTCCGCAACCCACCTCTCCGCAACCCACCTCTCCGCAACCCACCTCTCCGCAACCCACCTCTCCGCAACCCACCTCTCCGCAACCCACCTCTCCGCAACCCACCTCTCCGCAACCCACCTCTCACCTCTCCGCAACCCACCTCTCCGCAACCCACCTCTCCGCAACCCACCTCTCCGCAACCCACCTCTCCGCAACCCACCTCTCCGCAACCCACCTCTCCGCAACCCACCTCTCCGCAACCCACCTCTCCGCAACCCACCTCTCCGCAACCCACCTCTCCGCAACCCACCTCTCCGCAACCCACCTCTCCGCAACCCACCTCTCCGCAACCCACCTCTCCGCAACCCACCTCTCCGCAACCCACCTCTCCGCAACCCACCTCTCCGCAACCCACCTCTCCGCAACCCACCTCTCCGCAACCCACCTCTCCGCAACCCACCTCTCCGCAACCCACCTCTCCGCAACCCACCTCTCCGCAACCCACCTCTCCGCAACCCACCTCTCCGCAACCCACCTCTCCGCAACCCACCTCTCCGCAACCCACCTCTCCGCAACCCACCTCTCCGCAACCCACCTCTCCGCAACCCACCTCTCCGCAACCCACCTCTCCGCAACCCACCTCTCCGCAACCCACCTCTCCGCAACCCACCTCTCCGCAACCCACCTCTCCGCAACCCACCTCTCCGCAACCCACCTCTCCGCAACCCACCTCTCCGCAACCCACCTCTCCGCAACCCACCTCTCCGCAACCCACCTCTCCGCAACCCACCTCTCCGCAACCCACCTCTCCGCAACCCACTTCTCCGCAACCCACCTCTCCGCAACCCACTTCTGACTCCTCCGCCCCAACCTCCCTCTTGCACCCGGATTGCTACCCACTTCTTGCACTCAAGGACGTTCCTTCGCAACAGATGTTTCCACTTGTTCCCCCCACCCGTGCCCCCCACCCATGCCCCCCACTCCTTGAGAACCCCCAGCGTCCCTCTTACACTCGGTCCGGACATTCTTGCACTCAAGGACGTTCCCTTGCACCAGATGTTTCCACTTGTTCCCCCCACCCGTGCGCCCCACCCCTCCAGAACTCTCAGCGTCTCTCTTGCACCCGGATGTTCTTGCACTGAAGGACGTCCCCTCGCAACCAGAACTGACCCTGGTGGAGTCCAGCGAGGGGTCACTGGAGAAGAAGGGTGAGAAGGGCAAAGGAGAGGTGAAGCAACAAGGGGCGGCTGCAGGGACGGGTGGTGCTGTGCCAGGGGCGTCCAAGGATGAGGAGGGTAAAGGAGAGGAGGATTGTTCTCCCACTACTACGCTTCCAACCCAAGCAATCCACCTTTTTCCCACCCGTCCCTTCCACCCTTCCCCCTCACCCGTGTCCCCCACCCTACCAGAACCCACTTTGGACTCAGCCTCCCCATCGTCGCTCTTACACCCGGACATTCTTGCACTGAAGGACGTCCCCTCGCAACCAGAACTGACCCCGGTAGAGCCCAGTGAGGGGTCACTGGAGAGAAAGGATGAGAAAGGCAAAGGAGAGGTGAAGCAACAAGGGGTGGCTGCGGGAACGAGTGGTGCTGTGCGTGGGGCGTCCAAAGCTGGGCTCTCCTCCAAGCCTAAGTGGTTCAAGCGATAAATTCTTCACCTTAGCTAAAGAGAAGGCCGATAGGGGTAGTGGAGTTGTGAGCTGCAGGGACGGGTGGTGCTGTGCGTGGGGCGTCAAAAGCTGGGCTCTCCTCCAAGCCTAAGTGGTTCAAGCGGTGAACTCCTGACCTTAGCAGAACAAAGCCCAAAGGGGTGGCTGCAGGGACGGGTGGTGCTGTGCCAGGGCCGTCAAAAAGCTGGGCTCTCCTCCAAGCCTAAATGGTTCAAGCGATAAACTCTTGACAAATGCAGAACAAAGCCCATACGGGCATGGAGAGGTGAATCAAGAAGGGGCGGCTGCTGGGACGGGAAGTACTGTGCCAGGGGCTTCAGAAGCTGGGCTCTCCTCTAGAATAATTGGTTCAGGCGGTAAATTGTGATCCCAGCAGTACAAGGTTGACAGGAGCAAAAAGGGGTGGCTGCAAGGTTGGCTGGTGCTGGGCCAGGGTCTTCCAAGGCAGGTCTCGCCTCCGAATATACGAGCATGTTCCTACACCTCGTATCAGACACACCTCGTATCAGCTTTATTCTGCAGTGGTTGGATGCGTTTTAGTGCTGTTCGACATGAATCTGATACCGGGTTGCTTGATATGCGGCCGTAGGAACACGCTCTAAGCGGGAGTTTTGATTGCTGCAGAATAAGACAGTATGGGCTTGTGAGATTTGGATGAGTTGAAGTTTCAAGACGTTTCAAGGGGTGAATCAGGTGATCTGATCAGGTTCCAAAAGCATGTTATTTAGTGGTGCTGTTGCAAAAGATGTCATGTCAAGACTCTACACAAAAGATTTGATTAGAGACACGTCATCACGAACCAGTGAGAAAGCATGTTCGCTTTCTGGTCCTTTTGCTAGTCAGAAATTGCAGAGGTGACACATGGTGCAGAGGATACTGTCAAAATGAGGAATGATGATGCCATTGATGTTGGTTGGGGTACATATAACAAACCCTAACTTCTGTACCCCCTAAGACAAACCTCACTACAGGCTACAACATTTGACACACCCCCATAGCCTAAGTGAGGGGTGTCTAGCAAAATAAAAAAGAGTACGGTCATAACACCAGTCCAAAAGAAAACAAAGCTCAGGGTGGATCACAACGTCACCACACTCTCTGAGCACAAGCAACAGTGGCCACAAGGCCAGTCCAAGAGATCACAAGTATATATAGCAAGAGTACAGACGAAGCAGGCAATAAACTCAAGTCTACACATGACTAGAACCTGTGTCAACAAGGCCTAACTGCACACAACACCTCTGGTGGTCACGAGGCGGAAGCGTCTTGGTGAAGATGTCTGCAGTGTTGGCCTCGGACTCCACAAACTCGAAGCGAGCCTGTCCACGTCTCTGCAACTTTCGCAGAAGAAAGTACCTGACGTGAATGTGCTTCACTCTGCTCTCCAGTCGCGGCTCACGACACAGGAGGATCGACGCCTTGTTGTCAGTAAACAAGGTCGGTGCAGAGCTCGGCCGCTCACCAAGGTCGGCGAGCAAGAAGGTCAACCAACGCAACTCCTGTGCCGCCATGGCACCAACGTAAATCTCAGCCTCAGCTGTAGAGGTCGAGACAGAAGAGGAGCGCGTGGAACGCCAGGAAACAGCTCCAGAACCCAGACTGAAACAGTACCCCTGAGTAGACCTGTGAGTCTCAGCGTCGTCAGCGTAAGAGGAGTCACAGTGACCAGTGAGTACGACAGACTGCTGCCCTCCAAGAACTAGCCCCACGCCTGATGTAGTCGCTAGGTACTTCGCCACCCTCACAGCTGTCGTCCAGTGAACAGGACGGTGTCTCCCTGGCGCAACAAAGCGCGCAAGGATGCTGAGAGGGAAGGCGAGGTCCGGGCGAGTACAAGTCATCAGGTACATGAGGCAACCCACAAGCTCTGCGTAGGGACCACTAGGCTCAAACGGCTCGTCAGGAAAGGGACCAGTGAGTCTGTGGTCAAGAGCGAGAGGTGTGCGCTGTACGGTGGAGTGCTGAAGCCCGAACCGCTGAAGGACCTGCTGCACCATGTGTGACTGTGAGAGTGTAATGGTGCGAGCGGCTCTGTCCCTGGTGATCTGCAGGCCAAGGTAGTGGCGCAGCTCACCAAGATCAGTGCACGTGTGTCTCTTCTGCAGTTCGGACTTCACGTCTGCCAAAGCAACCCTGTCCGGAGTGGCGAAAACGAGGTCGTCGACGTAAACCAGAACAAAGAACGGTGTGGAGCCACGACGAACGAACAGCGACGGGTCGGCAGAAGACGGCTGGAACCCAAGGTCAGAGAGGGTAGAACGCAGAGTGTCGTGCCACTCACGAGGGGCCTGGCGAAGACCGTAAACAGGTCGCCTCAGCCTCCACTGGGTCCCAGGAGGGAAGGTGCCAGTGAAGGCCGAGGGACGACCCAACCAGACCTCCTCGTGTAGGCTGCCCTGAAGGAAAGCAGTGGAGAAGTCGAGAGAGTGTAACTCGTAGTCTCTCTGTGCTGCTACGTGTAGTAACACCCGAAGAGTGGTCATCTTCGGGGTAGGTGCGAAGGTCTGAAAGAAGTCAACTCCCTCGCGCTGACTGAAACCTCTAGCCACGTAGCGCGCCTTGAAGACCGGGGGAGATCCCGGTGGCCGCTTCACCCTGTAGATCCACATGCCGTCGACTACGTTCGCCCCAGGGGGGGGAACCTCATCGACGTAGGTGCCTGTGGATCTGTAGGAGGCCATCTCTGCGTCCATGGCAGCTCTCCACTGAGAGGCCCAAGGCCCTGACACTGCCTCAGCGTAAGTGCGAGGAGTCGGAATGTCAAGGGCGTCGGGGTCACCCTCAGGGGCGAGGAGCATGGCACAGAGATGAGGGGAAGCGGCCGCCAGGAACTCTAGCTCAAACTGCCTGTCCTCTAGGGCGTCACAGCCAAGGGCAGACACACCCCCGACGGCCAGAGGACTGGTAGGAGGAGCAGCCACAAGCGTGGTGGCGTAGTCAAGGCGGCGGGTAGAGGCAAATTCAGTAACTGCGGCAGTAAGAGCGGACACAGACGACAGAGAGGCACGAGGGTGAGTAACAAGAGAGGCGAGAACACGAGAGAGAACAGGACGGTACGTGCGGTAGTAGTCAGTGACAGGAGTAGGGAGCGACACAGTGAGGGCCGACTCAGGAGGAGACGGAAGCACAGACTGAGACGGACGAGGTGGACTAGAAAGAAGGAAGGCAGTACGAAGGTCAGTGAAGGGAACAGGAGACGAGGGACGAGCACGAGGGGAGCGACGAGTAGCCCAAGAACAAGACGGAGGAGGAGAGGACAAAGGCGGAGAACTGGGGAAAACAGCGGGGGAGGAGTCAGGAGGAGGAAACGTGGGACCTTAGACAGGAGGAGAGGCGGAGGAGGGAGGAGAAGGGGAGGGGAGACCAAGGGTCCGAAGACCCGAGACAGGAGGAGGAAGTGGCTGCTGCTGCTGCTGCTGCGACTGCTGCTGCTGCGGAAGCGGCTGCTGCTGGGACTGCTGCTCCTGCGGGTCCAGCTGCTGCTGCTGCTGCTGCTGCTGCTCCTGCGGCTCCAGCTGCTGTTGCTGCTCCTCCAGCCGCTGTAACTCCCTCTCCTCTCTCTCCAACGCCAGCTGCTCGTCACGGGCACGGCGAACACGAGCCTGGTGCCTAGTCGGGTAGGGGTGGGGGGGCGGAGTAGTGTCCGAAGCAGCGGTAGCTCCAGAGTCCACCCCCGAAGAACCAGGCGCACCACCCCCAGAGGCAGCACTAACACCAGCTCCAGACCCAGGCTCACCAGAACCCGAAGGAGGCGCACTCTCACCCCCAGTGTCCGCGCGACCAGCACCAGCTCCCGGACGACAAGAGTCCTCTGCACCCACCGGGTCAGCTCCAACTCCAGAACCAGAAACTCCAGCTCCAACTCCAGCTCCAACCCCAGCACCCCCAGAACCAGAAACTCCAGTGCCAACTCCAGCTCTAACTCCAGCTCCAACTCCACCACCCCCAGAACCAGAAACCGGTACAGGAACAGGCGCAGCACCAACCTCTCGAGAGCTAGCACCTGCGGCACGCTGCGAGGAGGACTGTGGGGAGGGAGGCTGTACCGGACAGGCTACCGAAGGAGGAGGGGTAGCCTGGGACACACCCGACGGGGCTGGACCAGGGGGGGGAGGCTGTACCGGGGGAACAGGAGGGGGAGCGGCAGTCAGGAAGAGGTGGGGAGGAGGAACCTGGAGACCTCGACTGGGGTACCTGACGTAGTACGGAGTGGACTCCTCGAAACGGACGTCACGGGAGTTAAAGAACCGGTGAGAGGGAGGGTGGTAAAAGGTGAAGTCAGAGGAGTCCTCAGGGAAACCAAGGAAGACACAGGGGACGGCACGAGGCGAGAGCTTGTCCGCGGAGGTGTCGCGGACAAGAGCCAAGCACCCCCAGACACGAAACCGCGACGCAACACCAGGGGACCCTGTCCAAAGACTGGTCGGTGAAACCTCTGGTCGAGAGACACGTGGCCAGAGGTTCAGTTGGTGCGCGGCGTACCTGACCGCGTAGGGCCACAGAAAATGGGGGGCACAGGCGTGAGTCAGGGAGGTGCGGGCGATCTCCATGACCAGGCCTATGCGGCGCTCAGCAACCCCATTCTGCTGTGGGGACTCTGAAAGCGTCCAGGACTGACGAATGCCCTGCTCGCGACAGAATCCAGCGAGAATGCCGGAGCGAAACTCACCCCCACGGTCGGAGTGGAGACAGCTGACACGACGACCACGAGTGTCCTCGGTGGTGAGCAACCACCTGATCAGCGTAGAAGTCACCTCAGACTTCTTCGCCAGAGGGAACACTGTGGTGTAGCGGGAGAAGTCGTCAACGACCACCAGAAAGTAGCGCTCACGCTCAGGGCCTAGACGAGGGGCGGGGCCCCAGACGTCCAAGTGAAGCGTCTCAAAAGGCTCGGTGGCCGGACGAAGGGAGGAGGAGTGAGGGGCGGCGCGCAGCCGACCCTCGACGCAGGGACGACACGGCGGCGCAAGCGAAGGCGG